CTTGATGCTTAGAAGACATCTGAAGGCAGCCCTGTTTAGGGAAGATTTTAATGTTTGATGTTTTATCGTGTTCTTAATATTCTGTTGGGAGACAACCAGAGAGGCCAGGATATCAATAATAAATAATAATAATTATTATTATTATTACTAATAATAATATTGATATTATTATTACATTCTTTCACATTCCTCCCATATACAAAGCTCAAGAATATATTTTTATCTTCAATGAATTCTCATGGGTTCCACTTCAGGCAGTTATGTGGGATGAATCCTCACTGTTTTCTATATCTCTTCTATTTTTGTGACACTGATTTCTTCCTTAGATTGCTTATTGTGCATTAGCTCCAGTGAGGAGCACCGAGTTGCAGCTCCAAACCTTCTTCCGGATGGTGCCCAATGAGAAATATCAATATGCAGGGATTGTCAAGCTACTTCTTCATTTCCAATGGACATGGGTCGGACTTCTTGCTTCAGATGATGAAAATGGAGAGAAGTTTATGGAAATCTTAGGGCCAATGCTTTCCCAGCACGGAGTCTGCACAGCCTTCAAGGAAAAATTACCAACCATATCTCAAGGGTTAGATAATATCAGTTCACTGGATCTAATCCGGGCTATGTCCTCTTATCTGATGAAATCAGATGTCAATGTTTTCGTTCTATATGCAGAACCTCAGACCACAGCAGTTGTGAAATTGATGATTTATTTTTCTTCATTAGCTGAAGATATTGCAGAGAATTCTAAAGGCAGAGTGTGGGTTTTGACAGCCCAATGGGCCTTCTCATCAGATATAATTCAAAGGTATATCAATATTCAAGGCTTTGATGGTGCCCTGTCTTTTGCAATTCACACAGAAAAAGTCCAAGGATTTAAAGAATTCCTTCAGACACTAAATCCGAACTCTCCAAATGGAGATGGGTTCCTCCAGACTTTTTGGGAAATGGCATTCAACTGTATATTTTCAGTTTCAAATGACCCCAATGAAAGCAGAGACACATGCACTGGCAAAGAGAGCTTGGAGGGCCTTCCTGGGCCCATTTTTGAAATGACCGTGACTGGTCAAAGTTACAGTACCTATAATGCGGTTTATGCCATTGCATATACTTTGCACAAGATTCTCTCATCCAGGCCAAAACACAGAAGGATGGCAGGCAGAGGTGGACTCCATCCTCCCAAACTGCAACCTTGGCAGGTAAGATTTCATCTTTGGAATAAATCTTTGCTTAGGCTAATCTAACGGGTGATGACACAATGTCCATAGACTGAATACACACAGAAGGAAAACACCTCTTACAGCATTTACATTTCCCGCACAAAACAAATGTTCTTTTCAGTGCTTCCCAGTTTTCCCTTGCCTTCAAGTTGGAGCCAGAATCAATATATTCCCTGTACTTCCCCTTCAAGTTGCAGAGGTGGAAGTATCTCCTCCTGCACTTCCTCAAACACAAATGTCACCTCTTTGTAGAACTGAACAATGTGGAAGGAGCTGCATGTTCTGCTGTCCTATGTGTTTGTGATGCTGATATGTCAGGAGTGGTGAAGAAGGAGGCATGTTAAACTGGGACTCATGATGTGTTGATATCAGAAAGGTGGTATGTTTTTATCCAGGAAGAACCTCTCCAGTACGTTCTTCAGGCAGCATCTCACCCTTTGACATTGCACAAACCACTGGTGTTTGTCTCTCAGCACCCCATAATAATATTTTTCTATAAAACCACTGAAAAACCTCCAACATTAAAAACTTCACTGCAATATGAGTACTTAAAAAAACCCCTGAATAGATGGCAAGCTTCATAATGCATTCCATATAAAAATGGTTCTGAAACTAGACTTGTTTCATTATCCATGTGATAATGCACAAAGTCAGGAAGAGAAAGGAGAAATATGAAGAATGAAGAATGCATTTGAAATTATTTAGGTTTGTTTCTACCCCTGACTGCCAAAACATTCTGTTCAATGGCAACAACTTTCTTCTAGAGCCTGCAGTTGTTTCTGCACAAAAGGGGAACATATATGGCTATTTTCAAATGTACCCAGTAATTGCCTGGCCAATTTTGTAACATGCTGCTAGAATGTTCCTTATTTACAGGGGGCCCACAAGTTACATTCACTTTACATATGGGATTGCAACCTCATGATGGTAGGGAAAAGTAAATAAACAATGGACAGCAGGGAAAACTCACCATTACCTGCTCTCTATTTATTTCCCCCCTTCCCCCTGCCCTCTCAGAAGGTCTTCCTTTCTTACCAGGCTCTCAGAAGGTCCAGGGAGGGCCCTGGGTGTGCAGTCCTCCCCCTTGCTTGCTGGGCTCTGGGATGGAGGCATGAGGGCGCTTCCCTCCCAAGGCCAGGTGAGCAAGGCAGTGCTTTCCATACCAGCCTCAGGGAAGAAGACACAAGGCCACTGGGTGCGTCCCAGAGGTCAGCAAAGAAGGGGGCCCCTTGCTTCCCAGGCTGTGGGGAGGTCATGACAGGGCTCCGGGAACATCCCAGGGTCCTCCAGCAACCTAGAGTTCAGTTCCAGGGGTTCCTGCCTTTGCACAACTTTGCCTTTGCACATGAACCCCCACAGCTGAACCCTCAAATACTTAAGTCTCAGGCCAAGTGTACCTCCGAAAAAATCAATATGTGCTCCAAAGATGGACCACACTATTTCTGACTACTTTCCATTGTGTGACATATATTGATTGATACTTTTTCCTTTCTAAAACCAATGAAGCATCTTATTCTGTCTAGCTTCTCTCTTTCCTGAGGAACATCTCCTTCAACAACAGTGCTGGGGACTTTGTGTCTTTTGATGAGAATGGGGAATTGGCAGCTGGATTTGATGTTCTGAACTGGGTTACTTTCCCCAACCAAACCTTCTCACGAGTGAAAGTAGGAAAGACAGAACCACAGGAATTGCACTATGTGGACTTCAGCATAGATGAAGAAGCCATCACATGGCACAAAACATTCAATCAGGTGAGAGTGGACTCTTGGTTTTTTTTAAAAAAAGGAACATTTTAAAATTTACATTAGTAATATAAATAAAAAGGGTAATGTATAAATTCTTCGTCATTATTAAGCAAAATGATTCTGTAGAACGCATATGCAGCAAATTATTTTACCATCATTTATGATGTGAGTAGATCTTTTCTTCTTCAGAGTTCTGGTATAAAAGTATAAAATGGCAATACCAGATTGCCTTCTGAAATATGGCAGGGTTGGGCAGGGTGCAGCCCCTCTTCCCCTGCCCCATAGGCCTGGCGGGCAAGGACAGCCTGGAGTGGAGGATCCGGTGTGGCCAGAGGTGGGTGGGACCCAGTGATCATCCCCTCCACTGGCTGCACAGGAAGATGGCAGCCCCCAGGGACCAGCCGCAGCCATGCCATACGGCAAAGCCCACGGAACCAAGCAGGACTTCTACTGCCAGACCAAACTCAAGTTGGCTGTGTGATGTTACCCTGAAGGATCCAGATGTGAAGTCTTGGTAGCTAAGCTCCAACCCAGCGGTGACCGAATGCTGCAGAGACCAGCGGCAGGAACTTGAAGGGAGAGACAGCTTGCCTACAACCAATTAGCAATAACAAACTAAACTTTTGAAAGCTAAGTCAAACCAACACTACAGGTGAGGCCTTCGGGAGTTTCCCTTTTATCTGAGACCGACCCACGGTGGGCCCCGTGATAAGCTCCGAAGGAGAATTTTATATTAGTCTTAGTCCTGGTGGGAGTAGGACTTCAAAGGAATGGTCTGTGTTGCTTACCGATAGTCTCCTTGTCGAACTAAATTGCTGGACTGTGAGGGTGAAGGTGAAGACGCCGACTTTCATATGAACAGGCAGTGAAATATACCCCCACTGCAAGTGCTGGCAGGCTTGAAGGAAATATTTAGTTGACGTTAAAATACTATCCCCCCTCTACTCGATATCTGAATTATGGGATATGGGAAACGTCTTAGAGATTCGGAGGAGACAGTCCCCATTCCCTTTCCGAGATCAAAGCAAACAAGGGTGGAACCATGTCACTTTAAGGAAGGGAGTAATCTACTGGATTGTTCCTACACGGTAGAAACTCAGAACCGATTTAACCCTCTGATTGATTGCGTGTCAGCACTTAAAGACGAAGAGCGAATAATACCTCAAATAACAAGCAATGTGGGCAACAGTAAGAGTGTAGCCTCTCCTCAGAAGGAGGAACTGGTCCTTGGCACAGCCAATCATATGACATTTGAACAGTCCCATTTAATAATCAAAACTTTGCACTGTATATTCAAAAGACTAGATGATCTTTCGTCCCAGCTGCACAGCCTCCAACAAAAGCTAGTTACTACCTCTCCAGCGTCAGCCGGTGTTAAGTCTCTTGAAGAGAGGAAGGGGACGAGGAGTTTGTCCTTAAATAACAAACGTACTGACAAATTTAAATACAACCTTAACCTTCAATTAGGTCATCAATCCTTGATTTTAACACCAAGGAAAGTGTGCCTAACTATACAAAATGGGGACCCAAGATGGAGAACTCTGGGCGGTGCCAAGGAACTCCTAATGGTGCTTTTAAATATGGAGGCAACACAGATTGACCTCTGTGCAGTCCTCCCCCTTGTCTATCATCATAAATCACAGAGAGTCCTGCTTGCGTTCCAATCCACAAAAATTCCCACTATCATATTACGAAGGAAAGCTTTTTTGTTTCGCTGTGGTATAGCACCAACGAGAGCCTTTATAGACCCTACGCCTAAACCCCTACTGTTGGAGGCAATAACCAAAGAGGACTTAAAATCTGCTAAACCCGATCCACCAGTGGCCACCGGAGTGGGTGTTCTCCTCCAGGAGATGAGTCAAGTGGCCTCCACTCCCTAGCAAAGAACAACGACCATCCGGAAAGTGGCCTGACACCACCAGAAGAGATCGAACTCATTGCCTCCTTTGCAGATTTACCAGCGGTGGAACAAAAAGAAATTATTAATAGACTCGAATCGCTTAAAACCCAACTTATCAGGAAGCTCAGCACCAGAATACCTATGTACAGCGAGCATGACATCCTAGAAGAACCAGTTCATATGGATATCGCAATATCTAATGCTAAATGTATGTCGGTAATGGAGGATAAGATACAACCCCAAGAAGCAACTACCAGTCCTTCCCTCCAACCAGAACAACCCTCCGTGCTCTTAATAGATTTACATGACCGTCCCTTGATAAACATACCTGAAGAAAGCAGCACACAACAGGAAAAATCCCCTTCTACACATTCATCGATGCCAGACCTGGAACCTTCTTATAGCACTGACCAATCAAGAGATGAGGTGCCTTTGCCAACCTTCCCAAATAGCCCACTCGCCCAGCCTTATTCTTCTTTGCGGAGTATTATGGATTCAACAGCAAGACCAGTGACGGAACTGACTGAAGATCCAACAGGCCACATAAATCAAGTAGCCCAAAAGACCAGTAGCAGACTACAGAGAGACCAAACTTCTGACGAGATAGATGGACCACACCGGGTGGCCCACCAAACTCTTTTGGAAAAGGGGGCCGCCCCTGCTCAAGGTCCTACTCTTAGTAGATCGAGTGGCCAAGTTCAACAGTCAGACAACCTTGTTAATCCTCCCACTCAGCTTTTACGAGAGGTTTCTCATCAGAGGAAGATAACTGATTTTTTTATTGGCTCCCCTCTTCCCGTATTAAAGTTGAGCCAACCTTCCGAATGACAGTCAATTGGAGGAACGAGGAAACCCCAGCCTTCAATATTAAGTTGGAACATTGCTGGATGGAAAAGTAAAAAATCAGATCCAGAATTCCAAAAATATATTAATTCCTTTTTTATCATACTATTACAAGAAACTTGGGTGGAGGAGGAAATTGAGTTAAATGGCTTTGAGTTTATATGTCTGCCTGCTAGCCCGTCAATGAATGGTGGCCGCCCTAAAGGTGGCCTTACAATTGGTATCTCCCTTAAACTTCGGGCTAAACTTTCACTAGTGCACGCATTGCCGCCTTATGCTATTACCGGACTGATCTCTGGTGGAAACTTCTCTTTATTGGTCACAAATGTCTATTTCCCCCCGGGAGGGTTAGCAGCTGATCTTACTTCTAGATGGGAATCCCTAGAGGATTTTTTACTTTCTTGTTATCTTAAATATCCTAATGTCCCCTCCATTACCGGAGGCGATTTTAACGCTCGGATAGCCTCAAATCGGGAAGCTCTTATAAAGTCTAAATGGTGGGTCGACCCCGGCGCTCAAACCTACGATCTAGTATATATCCCCACTAGAATATCAAAGGATGTAAAAGTCAATAAGGCGGGAGTGATGCTTTACCAGATGGCTTTACGCCTTAATTTAATTATATTAAATGGCAGGTGTCCTCCAGATATACCAGGAGAGTTCACCCATCTGGGGTTAAAATCAAACAGTGTTCTTGACTATGTATTGGTTTCTCGGGATCTATTTTTGAATGTCACCTCTTTTAAAATTGATAATGCCCAATTTAGTGACCATCTTCCCCTGACAACCAAGTTATGTGTTGACTGGCACCTGCTCGAGCGCTCCCACCCAATCCCGGTGATTGTGGAGCCGTCCACTAAAATAAAGGGGATTAGATGGTCCCCTGCCCTCGCCCATAGTTATACGGATTTTATCCGAGAAAAGTTTCCTGGTGAGCAGCCGGACGTAGGAATAGTCCCGCGTGATCCTATTACCTGTATGAATTTTTTCTCTTGCCTGATAGAAGTTTTAACTCGCTTTTTTACTTCTCCAAGCTATGGAGTTAAAAACGATTATTTTAAATTTGGCGCCCCTTGGTTCAACTCTGCTTGTAAACTAGCCAGACTCCATCTACATACAATATATAATGACTATAAACTTTCCGGCGCTCTGGCCTTACCTCCATCTTATTCCCTGGCTAAAAAAGCATACAAACAGGCCCAGAAATCGGCCAAACGGGAATGGCATTTAAATCGCTGGCAGACTATAATTTCTACCTCAAAATCTCATAACTCCCGGAAATTTTGGTCCTTAATAAAGGGAAGAAACACGAAATACCCCTTAACGGTGATCCCGGCCCCTACATGGGAGCAGTTCCTGAGAAAATATTTCTCAGTGGCAGAAGCTCCGGCCACTCACTGGAGACCTTCTAATCCCCTTCCCGTCTGGCACAATACCGACCCTGCTGAAATCCTAGAATTGATAGCTGAGCTGAAAACTGGTAAGGCCCCTGGGCCAGATTTGGTCCCTGTTGAGGCTATAAAGCTACATTCTGCATGGTGGGCAGGGATTTTAGCTAAAACGTTTGACGCAATAAATGCCACGGGCTTAATACCAGGTACGTGGAAGGAGGCCATTATAATTCCTATCTACAAAAAAGGCCCTCCCGGTGACCCAGGGAATTACCGGAATATCAGTCTGCTATCGTCCATTGGGAAAATATATGCCCGTTTTTTGCTGGCAAGGCTGATGAAGTGGTCAGCTGAGGCTGACCTGATTGGGCATGAGCAAGCTGGATTTAGATTAAACCGATCCACAACAGATCAGGCAATTATTCTTTATCACTTAGCCCGGAAATACTCGACACCTCGACGGGGCCAACTTTGCGCAGCCTTCATAGATTTGAAAGCTGCGTTTGATAGTATTCCGAGGCAATTACTATGGGATAAACTTGCCTGCTGGGGAATAGATAGAAGGCTCCTGTGGCTTATCTCCCAACTTCATGCCGGGTCCGTGGCCAGGGTAAGAATATCCCCTGCTGGAGACCTAACTAACCCAGTGCCAGTAAATAAGGGTGTACGCCAGGGTTGTATTTTAGCGCCTCTTCTTTTTAACTTATTTATCAGTGATATGAGGAACCCATTAATCGACTCACAAAAATTTATCCACACCCCCCGTATAGCAGATTATCGTTGTCCTTTACTTCTCTACGCAGATGATGCGGTACTACTCTCTTACTCCAGAGTGGGTTTAAGGAGGGCACTAAAGATTTTTGCATCATATTGCCATTCTAATCATCTGTCTATCAACCACACCAAGTCCAAAGTACTGATATTTTCAAGGAGTCGAAAATTATATTCATGGAAATTGGAGGGCACGAAAATCGAACAAGTACATAAATTTAAATATTTAGGAATTTATTTTCAATATAATCTAGGGTGGAAAGAGCACGTTGAATATCTTCAAAACAAGACAAAAGCCCTATCACACTCCCTCCTCCGTTTTTCTACTCTGAGGGGCCTTATTCATCCCTGTGGCCTTGAAAGTGTATAGCATCAAAGTGATGGCCACAATGGCCTATGCTGCACCTTTATGGGCTGCCTTTGCAAACCTCTCACCTTTAGAGTCGCTTCAAAGCCAATTCTTACGCCGACTTTTAAAACTACCAACATGCGTAAGTAATGCGGCTATTCGCTTAGAAATGAAGATCCCCTCAGTGGAGTTAGTTTTATGGAGGAGAGTTTTGATTTATTGGATATCCCTATGGCATAAACTACCGAACCACTATCTCATTCAATGCATGTGGCGGGATGACTTCACAAATTTGTGGTCAGGAAAAATCCATGCCAAATTGCTGTCCTATGAGATCTCGCCCACGGAATTGCTCAAACTGGATCTAAACGCGGCAAAAAGGTGTATAAATCAAAGGCTGGATGATGTGGAGCTATACCAAAATTTCTTAGCTGGTGGTGGAGCCTGCTCCCCGTTAAATCTCGGCATAACCCCTATCTATCGTGCTCCGTCCTACTTAACATCGCTTATAGCCGCATCTCACCGATATGCCTTCATTAGAGCCAGGTTCAATGTTTTCCCAACAAACGTGCTGAGACATAGATTCACTAAGGGCCAAGTCCCTTCAATGTGTGCTTGTGAAATGAAAACATCTGAATCTTTACATCATGTTATGTTTATCTGCCCTATGTACAGTTCAGCTCGCGCTAGTATACTAAACTCCATAATCCAGCCTATGGCTGACAAACCAGTAGACCTACAGCTTGCCTGGGTTCTTCAAGATGTAGATCCTTATATTACTCTACAGGTTGCTAAATTCCTAACAGCCGTTCTCTCGTACAAGAGACGGAATGGAATGTTAGCTGATTATTGATAGTTATAAGAATTTTTGATATTGACATCAGATATTGATTTTAGCGTAGTGCCTAAATTTTTAACTTTAATCTTAAATTTCTGTTTTGATTTGCCAATATTTGTCCTTGTGAGCTGTGAATTGTGTTATATTACTTGTGGCTTGTACGAGACCGCTGTTTTATTTGATTTGTTTTGTGTGTTGTGCTTTATGATGGGCGTAAAGCCGAATAAACATTTTTGGAAGTTTGCAAGCAGGACTTACATCTCATAACTGACTCATTTGTTTGGAAGGAAGAATCCTGGTCTTGCAGTGTTTCTCTGAGCCTAATGTACGTATTTTAGGGTTGCCATATGTCTGGGTAATCCAGGCATGTCCTCTTCTTTGCAGAGGGCAACATGCCCATCCGGGGGGATTTTTACATCTTAAAGGAAATGTCGGGGGGGGGGGTTTGGGGGGAAGGGCTTGGGCACAGGCTCGGGTGCGGGCATGGGCTCCACTGCATGCCTCAGCCACTTACTTCTAGCCTGAACTGTGGAAAGAATCACTCGGGGGCCGGGGCAGGGGCCCTGAATACCCACACCCGAGCAACTCTTTCCCTGGGCTGGTCTGGCAAAGGCTCAGGGCCTCTTTTTTCCTCTTCAAGATATGGCAACCCTAATATATTTGCTTCTGATCTAACCTTTGCTGTCAACTCCCTGTATTTCAGAATTATTTGTCTTTCCCTGTCCTCTTTCCATCCACCATCTTACACAGATGAAAAATTAAATTTCCTTTCTGCTTCACTCCCAATATTTATATTACAATTTATTCACAAATACACCACCTTTTGGGAATAACAAGAATCTGCCCAATGATGTCATCTCTTTGGTTCAAACTGTGTTCTTTACCATGCAAAAGGGAGCTTCCTCTTCTCCTCTTTTTCTGGCTAGGTGCTGCCCCTTGGTTTGTGTAATGATCGGTGCCAGCCAGGCTACAGCCGGAAAAAGAAGGAGGGGCGGCCATTTTGTTGCTATGACTGTGCTTCATGTCCAGATGGGATGATTTCAAACCAAACGGGTAGGAGACATCAGCTGCTCTTTTATAAATTGCTTCCTAGACTATTTCAACAGTTTCCCCTTATTAATAGTTCAGTACTCACTCCTAAACAGAACAGCAGTTGCACTCACATGAGGAAGAAAGAAGACAGACACAGAGAGTTGGGCAAACTAGAGCCACATCTTTAACCTTCACAAAGTAGATCTGTGGAAATAGGTGTGGATCATGTCCAGTGTTCTCTGCCTGCTCCCCACCTGCCACAGCTTGCAGAGCCAGGGAAGACTTGCCTCACCCTCCATCCCCATAGTTTTAGGGCTGAGAGCCGGAAAAGGAGAAAATGTCTGTAGGTCAGCCCCTCAGCCCCTGAATACTATTCAGTGAATCTCATCTTACTATTTTGCTCAGTGTATCACTAAGAATGATGTTTATACACGCTGAAAAAGCTTTTGATAATGTTTCTTGGGATTTCATCTCTGATACTTGTTTTCAATTATTTAATGGTTCAGAATTGTGTTTTGGGGCAGAAGCAATATTTATTTCAAAGAAAATTTGAAAGGCCATTGGAGATGGAGGAATCCATTTTATTGCAAAGAATGAAACATGACAGATGAAAAAGGTTGCTGTGTTTGATGGAACTCATTAATTTGATTTCTTTAGATATGGATAATTGTTTCAAATGCCAAGAAGGTCAATTTCCAAACCACAACAGAGATCAATGCATTCCCAAGAGTCAAAATTTCCTTTCCTACACAGAGCCTTTGGGATTCACATTAGCTGCCTTAGCTCTGCTCTTTGCTCTGGTCACAGTCTTGGTCCTTGGCGTCTTCTCTAAGAACGGGGACACTCCCATTGTCAAAGCCAACAACCGGGACCTCACCTACACTCTGCTCCTTGCCCTCTTGCTCTGCTTCCTCTGCTCCTTGCTCTTCATCGGCCAGCCTCACCCAGTGAGCTGCTCTTTACGACAAACGGCCTTTGGCATCATCTTCTCCATTGCGGTGTCTTGTGTCTTGGCTAAAACCATCACGGTGGTTCTGGCCTTCATGGCCACCAAACCAGGATCCAGGGTGAGGAAATGGGTGGGGAAATCTCTGGCCAACTCTGTTCTTCTGGGTTGCTGCTCACTTCAAGCCAGTATTTGTGCTCTTTGGCTCTGTACGGCTCCTCCCTTCCCAGATGTGGACATGAATTCTCTGGCGGAGGAAATCATTGTGGAATGCAACGAAGGCTCTGCTCCCATGTTTTATTGTGTCCTGGGGTACCTGGGATTCCTGGCCATTGTCAGCTTCACCATGGCTTTCCTGGCCAGGAAGTTGCCAGACAGTTTCAACGAAGCCAAGTTCATCACTTTCAGCATGTTGGTGTTCTGCAGCGTTTGGCTGTCCTTTGTTCCCTCTTATCTGAGCACCAAAGGAAAGCAGATGGTGGCTGTGGAGATCTTCTGCATCTTGGCCTCCAGTGCAGGCCTGATCACTTGCATCTTCTTCCCCAAATTGTACATAATTCTTCTGAGGCCCGACTTGAACAGCAAAGACCACTTGATTCTGAGGAGCAAATAAAAGTCAACTTGAGTATACCACCCTTCTATTATTATTATTATTATTATTATTATTACCCGCCCATCTGATTGGGTTGCCCCAGCCACTCTTGGTGGCTTCAAACATATATAAAAAGATAATAAAACATCACATTCTAGAAGGCTTCCCGAGACAGGGCTGCCTTCAGATGTCTTCTGAAGGTTATATAGTTATTCATCTCCTTGACATTTGATGGGAGGCTGTTCCACAGGGAAGGCACTATCAAGAAGGCCCTCTCTCTGCCTGCTTCTCTGTAACCTCACTTCTCATAGCCTCAGGGACTGGCCAAAGGAGGAGTAGTGGAGACTGCTTCTCCAGCCTGACCCTTCCAGGGAGGGGAAAGAGGAAGACAGTTTGGAGCTACAACAGGGGTTTGATGGAAGCCAGAGAGCACAGTAAAAAGAGGACAGTAAGAAACATTTCTTTGTATTTGTACATTCTTGGTAAACCAGCCTGGAGTTAGCTGACAGCTGCCTGACATGCCGTGAGGGAACCGCCAGAAGGGTCTCAGAGCTGGACCTCAGTGTCCAGGCTGAACAATGGGGGCTCCTTCAGATATATGCCCATAAGATCTTCACCACATGGACTTGCAATGTTAAAACCACAACCTACATAAAAAATTAAGAATTAGATTAGAGAACACTTCTACTGGTTGATGTGGAGAAAGCCTTCAATAGTGTGGCATGGAATTTCTTAATTTATACTTTCAAAAGCCCTAAAATAGGAAACAAAATTACGAATGGAATTAAAGCAATCCACGCAAACAAAAAAGGATAAGTTAATGATAAACAATGAAATTACTGAAGAATTCAATATCGAAAGAGGGACCAAGCAAGCCTGCCCTCTGTCTCCACTTTTATTTATCACAATGTTGGAGAAACTCCTAATAGTGATAAGAAAAGACCCCAAAATAAGGGGCATTAACTTAGGTAGTAGGTATTACAAGGTGAAAGTATTTGCAGATGATGTGATTATTACCACTGAAAATCCAATCGAAGGAATACAAGAAGCTCTAATGAAGATGAATGAATTTGGAGAGGTCTCGGGATTCACATTGACTAAAGATAAATCCAAACTATTAACAAAAAATATGGGAAAGAAAGAACAGGAATATCTAGAAAGAACAACTTGTCTAAAAATTATAAATAAAGTAAACTTCTTGGAGATTTTGATTACCAGTAGGAATACTAATTTGTACAAAGATAATTACATTAAAAAGTGGATGGAAATAAAAGAAAATTTAGGTAATTGGAGCAAGCTAGACCTGTCTTTATGGGGCATAATATCTATGATTAAAATGACAGTATTTCCCAAAATGCTTTTTCTTTTCCAGACGATACCAATAATTATCGGAACATCATGCTTTAAAGCTTGGCAGAGGGACCTTGCCAAATTCATTTGGCTGGGTAAAAAACCAAGTTAGATTCAAATTGTTGACGGAGCCTAGAGAAAGAGGAAGGTTCACTGTTCCGGACCTTAAACTGTATTTTGAGGCTGCATGTTGGACATGGCTGAAAGACTGGATTTTACTTAAGGACACCAAGTCCTAGATTTAGAAGGCTGGGACAAAGTCT